CACCACGCGCGGCCGCCCACCCATCACGGCCGCTGGCGCCGAGCGGACCTCCGTGCCTGCCGCCGCCGCCCGGGCTCTGAAGTCGGCGAGTCAGCCGCCCGGGTCTTGGCTCAGCTGGGGGGCGGCGCCCCCGGAGTCTCCGCCCCGCCGGCCGCCCCGCGCCGGAACCCCGCCCAGCGCGCCGCTCAGCTCCGCGCCCGGAGGCTGTCCCGGGGCGGCCGGGCTGGACGCTCGTCGGGGGCGCGGAGCGCCGGGGGCGCGTGCCCCGGGGGCGGGACCGGCTGGGGCGCCACGGAGAAGAGGGGGCGCGCGGGAGGAGGACAGGGCGGCAGCGCGTCGGTGGCCTGTACGACGTGGGGGCGGGGAGAAACCCGAGACCCGAGTGTGTGCGGACCCCGCCAAGCACCCGGCCAAATGAGGTCCAGCGGTGGCGGTGCCGTGGCCCCGCCGTGGGGGACGAGCCCGGAATGGCCACTGGGCTGTGGCGAGGCGCCCACGCGTGCCAGTTCCATGTGAACAACCTGAGCCCGTCAGGGACGTTCCTGGGTCCCAGCCCTCCGCAGAATTTGAGTCTGCTTTGCGGAGGCTCCCCGTCCACGCTGTTCTGGGACCCGTGGGGGAGGGGGGCCAGCTGTGGCTGGAGGTGTGGCTGACTCACTGCCGAGCACGCGGGCTCTGGAGCACCCACGCCACAGAAAGGCTCAGGGTTTGCTGGCCCAAGGCCACCTCTCCTGTGCATCACCGCCCTGCGCTGCCCGCAGGCCCCCACTGCCCCACTCAGTTGGCCTAGTCCACTCAGTTGGCCTAGTACCGGCTTCACCAAACTTGCACGTCATTCTTCGTGGGGGGGGGCTGAGTGTTGTAGGATTTTAGCAGCATCCTGGCCCCTATACCCTAGATGTCAGTAGCAGTCCCCACCCACCCTGCAGGTGTGACAACTCTGACTGCCTCTGGATATTGCTAAATGCCCCAGAGGTGCAAAATCTCACCCTGGGTCCCAGCATGGTGAGTACAGCCTGGTGAGAGCCCCTTCTTCCACCCCGGAGGTCACTGAGGCCATCTTGTGCCTGACATCCAGTGGGGGAGACAGTGGGGACACAAGCAGCCCTCGCCCCCACAGGAAAGTGTCCTCTGGCTTGGGAGACTTGGGGGCTGATGCCAGGGGCCTGAGCCTATCTATCTGGGTGGGGGCCTCCATGGCCTCTGGGAGGCAGCCGCCCCTGTGGTCACAAAAGCAGACTTTTCTGTTTCCTCAGACTCTGTGGTGTTGGTCTGAGTTCCAGAGCCTCCAATAGCATCAAATGGGGAAGAAACCAGCCCGTGTTTTAGCATTTCTTTTCCAGCCCGGGAACTTTTCAGGAGGAATTCCAAGTGACCTGTGGGGGAGTGGAGTGACTTCCTGCTGATTGTATATTGCACCCCTGTCTTCTGGTTAGAGATTTGGAGTCTCATTGGGGTGGAGTGGTCGCACTCTGGGGAGGCCTGAGTCTACAGGGCCCAAAGCAGCTGGGACAAGGGGACAGTGGCCTCGGGTGGGGATAGGTAAAGGATCCGTTTAGAATGACCCTGGAACTGAGCAGGTCAACCCACCCAGCCAAAGCCCAGGATGGCCCTGGGCTCACAGTGGTGTTACCATGAGACCCAAGGTCAGCTTTGAGGTTGGAGGACCCCATGTGTGCATTCTGGGCTCAAGGGCATGGTGCACCCCTCCCCATACCTCAGTACCCCCATTGCTGCAGGTACCAGGGTGCAGAAGTGCTTTGAGAAATGGGCAAAGTGACTGCACTGCCCAGGCCGCTGGGGAGAGGACCCTGCTGGCCGAGGGTCTGGAAACTGCAATGGCCCCTGTGCCTGCCGAGCGTGTGGGCCTAGCACATCGCTGCCTGTCACCCAGGGCGCTGCACACAGCCCATGTGTCCCCAGAGGGCCTGTGGCTTCACACAGAGGACGGCGGGGGCAGCTTTAGGACCCCCTCCCCCCTTCCCCCCCCCATTACACAGGCAGAGATATGATTTCACTCATATGTGGGATACAAAACAAACAAGTAACGAACAAAACAAAAACAAACTCATAGATACAGACCATGAAATGGTGGTTACCAGAGGGGAAGGGGGTGGGGGGAAAACTGGGTAAAGGGGTCAAATACATGGTGACAGACGTTAACTAGACTTTTGTTGGTGAGCACCCAAGAGTATACAGACATGAAGTCATAATGCTGTATACCGGAAACTTATATAAGGTTACCTCAATAAATTTTATTTAAAAAACACCTAGTGACCACCGGACCAAAGGGGAGAGACTCTCTGGGGACAACACAAACTGGTTCCCATCTCAGGCTCAGGGCTCAGTGACCAAGCCATCTGTGCGCAGGTCTGCTTCCCTGAAGCTAGGACGACACAACGGTGCACACGGGACGTGCATGTGTCAAAACCTGTGGAACAGATGATGCGTGTGAGCCTGCAGCCTTTGGTTAATAACAGATCAATATTGGCTCATGAGGATTGCAAATGTACACATAAATGCAAGATGTGAACAGTGGGGATCTGGAAGTGGAAAGACAGAGTATATACGGGAACTCGTTCTCTGCTCAGTTTTTCTGTAAACCCCAAAAATCAAGTCTATAAATTAAAAAAATAAAAGCTCAGCTAATCATGCTTGCCTAGCAGTGTTCTCAGAAGAATCCAACAGGATTTAGGGCCTGGCCTCGCCACACTGGCAGACCTGTCTCTGCCATGGGCCCTCCCTGCTGGAGACACAGGTACCTCTGGATTCCTGCAGGGTCCCTGGAGCAGGAATTTCCAGCTTTCCCGGCTGACAAGCTGCAGCGACAGGGTGTGGCCACAGCCGCAGAACTGGTTCCCTCAGCGTCACTGCCCCCCACCCCCAGGCGTCTGCTCCAAACACTGAGGGCCACCTGGCACCTTTGCATGGCAGGCAATGTGCTGACGCCTCCTGTCGCTGCAAAGCCACATGCCAACGAAACATCCCCATAGATAGGGTTCCTAGTGCCATGGTGCCCACCCCCCTCTTGGAGGCATGTCACGTTGGGGGCTGGGGGACACAGGACGAAGTGGGTCATGGCTGTCTGAGGATGCCCCGAGACCACGCGGGAACAAAGAAACCCCTGCAGGATCGATTATGAACCAAAAGGGTCCTTGCCAGTGGTGGCTGTGGGGCCTCCCAAGTGGTCAGAGAAGCTGGGGTGCGTCAGTTCTTTCCCAATTAAACCCAGGAAGGGGCCACAGTGACGCCCCACCCCCACCTGTGGTGAGGAAGGGGCTGGGCATCTTGGCAAAACGTGGGTGCCTCTCTGCGTTCATGATCCCCCAGTTGCTGGGCCACCGTTGGGAAGTGGAGTTTGAGACCAGAACCCCTGCAGGCCTGTCACGCAGGGACGCTCCCCTACTCAGTGACAGCAGCTGCTGAAGGGGTGGGCCCCCACTGTCCCGCCTGAGGAGGCTGAGTGACAGAACTCAGCGTTGACAGCAGGCCCCACAGCACAGGTCAGCGCACCCTGGGAAGTGAGGGACAGCGATGCAGGCCCCCTGCCCACCCTGTGAGTCCACACACGTGGGGCGCGGCGTCCGTGGCCCCAACTTTCACTTGTCTGCCTTTCACTAAGGAAAGGCTCACCTGGAACTGCCGCCCCCACCCCCCACCGGCCAGGCCTGAGAAGGCAGGGCATGGCCAGGCAGGGAGAGCCCCCACTGCAACCCAGGGCAGCAGCCATGGCCTCCTGCGTGACCACCCACGGTTACTCCCAAGTGTGCGCCTGGCCTGCGTGTTTTTACAGCTTGAACTGCAGGCGCCACGTTTCACCTTCTCTAGGTGTTTCTGTGTAACTGCACCAGGGACCCAACCCCAGAGGACTGGGACTTGTGGGACCGGGCGCCCTTTCCTAGCCTCTGAATGGCGGTGCGTGCAGGCGGCATGCAGGCGTGGGTGGTGCGTGCGTGGGTGGGGCGTGCAGGGCTCCACATGGCCCTGCGGAAGTCTGGTTCTGGACTCTGGGTCAGGGTCTGCTTCTGAGTCTGTTTCCTGCAAAGTGGACGGGGTCTTGAGTCTCAGGCGTGTGGCTCCTGACGTCACCACAAAAGCCTCTCACAGTGGGCGTGGTGAGCCTTGGGGCGTCCAGGTGCCGTCCCAGGCCTGGGGCGCCGACGTGGGGCCACCGGGCTCCTACAGCATGAGCTCTTTGAGCCACTATCACCCCCGACCACTATCCACGGGTGTTTTCTGCCCCGTGCTGAAGTGTTCACATGCGCACTCGTGCTCACGTGTCCTTCAGGTGGCCACTCACATGAACCAGCCAGGTGAAGAAACAGTTTCCTTCCAGAACCTGACACTTCCAGAAAAACGTTACAGGTTTTTCCTAAACATGCCCAGGAAATTTTCTCCTGGCCTTTGAAAACACTTCAGAACATTTTCCAGTCGTGCTTTCTGCTTTGCCCCTGTCACTCCGGCCCAGCCCAGCTCCCTCCCTGCTCAGCCCTGACCTCCTGGGTCACTTTCCACCGGAGGTCATTTCTGTTGACCTTCTCATAGTGAGGTAATTATTGTCATTGTCGTCCAATGATGTGTCACCAGCAAATGCTTGTAATCTAACATTTAGCAACTGTAGGCAGCAGCTTGTAATTACACCGTAAAATGACCAGACACTGCTAGTGGCCTCCACCTGACACCTTCCGAACCCAAGATGCTGGCATGTTTGGCTGTCTGTACATCAGAGAAGAGTGGGCAGCCAGCTGGGGTGGGAGCTGAAGGGCTCCCGCCAGTGGGACAGGGCCAGGTGCTAGCATGGCCGTGGTGTGGCGCTGGCTGGTGGCTAGCAGGGAAGGACAGCTCCTGTGGAGGGTGGTGTGACCACCCCTGCACTGTCCACTGTGCTTTGCAGCAGCCGCTTTGGGCATCTGGGCCTTGGCAGCGTCT